GGGCGCGGCGGCGCGCCGCCCCCCCCGCCCCCCCTGCCACGGGGCTGGGGAGGCGGGAGGGCCGGGTCAGGGCGCCCCGAGTCCCGCGGGGGGAGTGGGGGCTCTCGGCGTCTGGGCGAAGCCCGGGCCGCGTTTCATCCCGGCGTGGGGACGTGGTGCCCAGACAGACGCCCTTGTGTCGGGCCCGTCTCTCAGTACAAAGGCGACAGGGCCGCTCGCAGGGAGGGCGGGAGGGGGAGGGCGGGAGGCTTTTCTCCAGCGCTTCGGGAGGATGGGTTTTTGACTCGCTGCCGACTTTATTCCCAGCAAATTAATAATTTCCTCTCGCGGCAACAATGTTGGCCTCTGTGTGCGTGTGCGTGTGTGTCGGTGTCTCCCACTGCCCTCCCAACCCTGTTTCACCCCCGCTCCTCCCCGCCGCACACGGAGGGTCCACGCCGCTCGAAGCGGACTTCCTCCGTCCTTGTCCTCAGCTGGGCTCCTTCCAGCTGTGCGTAACTGTCAGACTCAGTCCAGCTGTGACGGCCGCTGCCTTGGGAACATCCCGGCGGGAGCGCTGGGCCCGGCTGTGAACTGATGCGAGTGTTTGGAGGTGACGGGGAAGCACGTTGGGTGGCGGGGAGGGACGGCGCAGCTCCGGGAAGGAGCTCTCGGCTTTGCAGCCTGTCTGGCAGAGCGCTTGGTGAAACGGGAAAGCGAGCAGGAAAGCGAGCGCGCGGGGCGGCCACCAGCGCACGCTCAACCCTGCGCCTGCCTGTGCACGTTGACATAGGGCAGCCGCAGGACAGACCCAGCGTGCCGGACGGGAGCACCGGCCACCCCAGCTGCCACGAAGCGCCTGGCGGTGGTATGTGTCACCCAAGAGTACTGGCATAGCTGTGCACGCTTGCACGAGCCCGTGCACGCGTGATTGCTGCTCTTCGCGGCGTCAGCCTGCTCGTGCATGCACCCCCCTGTGTGTCATGGTTGCTCTGGGCACGTCCCCTGCGTGTTCGCTCCCATCGCCCTGCAACCCGTTCCCACAGCATCCTGCCTGCACGGCTGCCTGGAAACGCGCAGGGCTGCCGGCATGCCCGCCGCAGCACAGATACCTCTCTCTTGTGCGGGCACACAATATGGCATACAGTATCGGGGAGATCTTCTGGGAACGGCGGTCCGTTCCTCTGGCAGCATTGTGTTTTGTTCCTTATTTATATCCCCGGGGTGGTGCCACAGGTGGGCGATTGTTCCAGCTGACAGCCTGAAAGGCAAAGAAACAAGATTTAACTTCCTGCTATTCAATTAGAGAAAGTGAGCATTCATCACCAGCTGCTGGCTGCTGGCAGGAACAGACCCACCCGCCGCGGCGGGCGCAGGAAAAGCTCTCCTCGGCAGGAAAGCTGCCTGCTACCGCGGGCACGGCCGGCTCCCCGCACGGCCCGGCTGCCAGCGCTGCACCAAAGAGCCTCTAGGTAAGGCTGGATGCTTCCCCTCCTCTCCCACACTGCTGTCAACGTTCTCTCTCGCGTTCGTTTTTGGAAAGGAGATTGGCCGTTCGAAGCAGCCGCATGGAAAGCAGCGGTGTGGGTTGGGGGGGATGCGCTAAGCGAGGAGCAGCCACGCCAGGAGGGAAAGCCATGAGCTCGCAGTGCTGGAGGGAACGGCAGCACAGTGGCTTCCCCCCGGGCCAGCCCGATCGCTCCAGGTTCAGCCTCTG